ACCACACAGTGTGTGTGTGTGTGTGTGTGTGTGTGTGTGTGTGTGTGTGTGTGTATTGCGATGGCCTCCTTTCTAATCAGTGAGACCATGTTTCTATATGCAACACGAATCTTTGTCTAAGGGGTGTGTGCGTGTACATTACGACGGTCTCGGTCTCACGGTTGCCGGGGATGGCTGTAGACGATGAGGGTCTCTGATGGGTGTGAACAGGCACATGCGCCGGTGTGCAGTGATCGTGAGGGTCTCTGGCCAGTGGGCTCAGATGCCCGCAAGGCCTCCCTAGTGTAGCATCCCCAATACCAGGGCATCTCGACAGGAAGTTTCCCTGGGTACCATGCTGACCATCCAGCTGTAATTCCCAGCACGGGGTCAGGCAGCCCCTGGCTAGGTGAGACCAGGAGGGGCCACTCCAAAATCAGCTCTGCTCTCCTCCGGCCCCTCCAGGAGGGAGAGTCAAGTGGCGAATCGTGGTTCTCTGAAGCACCCCCCGTGCCACAGGACCCACCCAGGTCCGGCTAAGCAGCACCGTGTGACCCATGTGACTCCCAGAATCCCTGGTCTGGACCATTCACCCAGAGACAAGCAGAGGGCACGTGGCTGGCCAGCCTCCCTCCTCCTCCACCAAGCTGGGATTTTGCTGGGCCCGGGAGCTGAGCTGGCAGCGAGGGGATGTTTATACACCCCTGGGCAGGCAGTCCCCTTCCCAGTCGTCCCTCTGCTGACACCTCACTCCCTCCCATTCCTCCCTACGCCCCCCTCCATGTCCCACCCCCTCCCATCTCCTCCCATGCCCCCCCTCGATACCCCTCCCATACAACCCCCCATGCCCTAGCACCTCCCACCTCCCTATACAACCCCACCTCCACTCCCCTCTCTGTACCCCACCCCTCCCTTCGCTTCATACACGCCTCTCTTTTTTTCTCTGCTCTTGATCTTTTTTTTTTATTATCATTGTAATATTCTCTCTCTGCCACCCACCTGCTGTGTTCCCCTCACCAGGCGGGGTATGGGGGGGGGCGGACCAAGTACCAGCCTCCTCACTAGACCCCAGGGTGGCAAAGCCAGCCTGGATGGCATACAGGAGCTAGAGATCGGAGTCCCCGTCTGTGTTGTCTCCCCCCCACTTGCAGTGCACTGCGCCCCAGCCCTCTTGTACACAGCTCAGCGCTCAGTCCTCTGACCTGACCCCACCCCATCCCATCCAGGACCCCACCCCCGGCACAGACCCCAGACCCACCCTACGCACAGAATCCAGGACCCCACTCCAGGCACAGACCCCACACCACACACAGAGCCCCACCCTATGCACAGACCTGAGGCCCCCAGGCACAGACCCCAGACCCCACCACACACAGCCCCACCCTACGCACAGACCCCAGAGCCCCATTCACAGAGACCCACCCTATGCACAGAATCCAGGACCCCACCCCAGGCACAGACCCCACACCAAATCCAGGACCCCACACCACACACAGAGCCCCACCCTATGCACAGACCTGAGGCCCCCAGGCACAGACCCCAGACCCCACCACACACAGCCCCACCCTACGCACAGACCCCAGAGCCCCATTCACACAGCCCCACCCTACGCACAGAATCCAGGACCCCACCCCAGGCACAGACCCCAGACCCCCAGGCACAGAGCCCGATGCA